TTCTAACCTCACTATAGTATCATGTTTTTAATTTTCTACCTCATTTTTCCTGCATATTCTCTGCATTTTTTATTCTCGTCTTGTTTTACAAGGTCTAGTGTTAAAGAATTAATACTGCACATCATTTCATGTTGTAAACTTAACAATATTTGATTTGTATTTTCTGTTTATTACATTTGTTTAAAGTTAGGTAATTTGCTTAATCTTATGACTTTTCCATTTTTCCCCCTCTGTGGTGAATGTTTGAATGTTTTGTCTTAGCTTTTCACCAAGGCAGGATGACCCATAGAAGAAAACATATTTACAGTCATGCCTTGTCTAGCTGTCTTGTGATTTGAAATTTTAATTAAATCCTCTCTTCTGTAAGCCTTTAATCACTGGAAATGAAGAAACTTTGTATTCAAAATTGTTTTTTCTTTGTGTAGTACACAGTGTAGTTTACATATAATAGAATAGTGTTAAGCACAAAGAAAGCCACTAGCATGCATGAGCATTTCGGGCAAATGTTTACCATATTTTTGTTTAAGGAAAGAGCCTAGTCTAGGGACTGGGCTCTTTGACTATTGTTCACATAATGGTTATGATGTTAATAATAGCTGTCAAATCTTTCTTAAGTAACATTGTTTTTCTTTTTCCAGGCTTTCAGATTAAGGTGGACAAAGGTATGTTAAGTCTCCTAAGGAGACTTTGAAGTTTATATTACATTTTAGCCAGTAACAATAAGACAAATAACCTGCACGTAGCAGACTGACACTTATAACCAAATAGGTCTAAATTGGATTGAAATATTGTCATAAGTTTGTCTCCTTCGTACAGATTATTTGTGTATTTTTCCAGTCACAGTATCGTGCCTTTTTATCCATTAAAATTATAAGAAATTAAAGTATGACTTTTTTAATGTTTTTATGTATTAGAAGCAGAGGAAAGTTATTTTTTTTATGTTGAATAAAAATATTGAAGGTTCTAGCACTGAGTGAAATAGATAAGTGAACAAGATTATATTAAAAGAAGAGTCAAACCTCAATGGCTTAGAGCTGCTAATGGGTTAAGGGCTTGAATGAAAAGTTATGATGGGTATATTAAGGCAGTGGAGCATTAACATTAATATAACAGTACGTATTATGAGGAGTCTCCTCAGGGCCCTCAGATGGGAGGGGCTCTAGACATTCATTTTATATATTAATAACTGTTGTAAAATAACAAGGAAACAAATGCTTCACTCTTATTTTCAAATTAAGTGAATTTATTATATATTTCTTAAGTATAAAAATGTAAAGTTTTGGATCACCTTACCTGGATGGGAGATAGTGTGATAAAAATATAATGGAATTTGTTCTGTGATCAGTCTGCCAAGATATAAATGGTTGAGGTTTATCCTCTTCACACTGTAAATATGAGGAGTGACTTATATGTTTGTTCATTGCTTAGTACACTCATAGCTGGAGTTTAGACTAAGGTGAAAGAGAAGAGTATTACCAGGTAAAATGTCAGTAAAAAGTGATTGAATTAAAGATTGTAAGTGGTTTAATTAATTGTTGAAAAAAAATGTTGGGTAGTGGAAAGAGTAATGAGGATATCAGAAAAGTATGGTGTAGATTTCTGAATGTGTGTCAGTGTGTGGCAAAGTTTTTCATTTGTATGTTAGGTACTGGAGAAAAGAGAGGATTGCTGCAATGATATGAAAATGGACAATATACAAAGATGCCACATGAGTGGGGGAAAATAATACATATAGGGAAGGCGAATTATATCTTAATGGGTTAAGATATTGAATAAAAAGTTATGATGGGTGTAAAGGAAAAAAACTGAGAGTTTGTGATCATTGTCTAGAAGCAGATATTGGTGATACAGCAGGCTTATGTGTGAGAATCTTAGTTCAGAGTGAGGTTTAAGGAACTAGGGGTGAAAAACTGAATAGCCATACACAATTTGTAGAGGTGCGGGTATGGTGCCTGAATTCTGAAAGTGGGGTAGATATGTTGTGGTTAAGTTCGTTAAAATAGGTTATTATGCCCGTCTTTCTAGAAAAGTAACGAGAGCAAAGGTTGAATTTTTCTTTAGGTCCAATTAGGAAAACTGCAGATTACTTTAAAATAGAATTTAATTTAGTGATGTCTATCAATAGACATTCTTATTTTTTTTATTAACAGCATTTTTCCGAGGGAATGGTCTTGTATGTGATGAAAATATGACCTTATTCAATTAGAAGGGAAAATTGTTAAAAGTTATCTTTATAGCTGTCTGAGGAAAATGTATTAATTTTTTCTTCATTTTTCAGGCTTTCAGATTAAAATATTCAAAGGTATGTTAAATCTTGTTAGAAATGACTAAACTGTGTTCTAATCAAAATTAAGCCCTTTGAGTTGGCAAGCCTATACAATATACATGTACTATCCATGTATATGTGGGCTAAAAAAGACTGTTCTGGAAAGTGTGTATAGATGTGTAATTTTTCTGTATATTACTAGCTCAAAATATTTCAAATATTGTACTAATTGGTATCTTTGAGGTATTGAAGGGCTGCTGCGAGTGTCAGTGGTGGGTTTATTTTTTTTGCCATATGTATATTGTATTTTTGTTTTGCATTATTTGATAGTTCTTGTATTTTTTGTGCTTAACCCTTCAAGGGAAGGGGGTATCATGATCCTGTTGAAAGGTTTCTTGATCCAAGGAATTGGAGTTACTCTCCTATTCCATGGGCATTATTTGATCCCTGGGAGTTTAATGCTTTCTCATGAGTTTAGTATTTGTGCTGGAGAATAATCTTAGACATCTTGGAACAATTAAAATCAAGCTCCCTAGTAGTGAAATATGATATTTTTTTAAGATCAAACCTCAGAGGATTTCTTAAATGATATTACTAATGATAATGATCTTCTGAGAGTAACAAAAAGGGTAAATACAGTATACAGTTTTTGGTATAATTTGTAATGGTTGACATTCCCCCCCCCTCCCAATTTATCTGAAATTTTCTGTACGTAGAGCTTTCCATGAGGATAGATATTCAACGTATGCCAATGAATGACATACTTGAAACTGCAGTGGGCTAGTAACATCTTTTAAGTTGAAGCTCAACCCTTTCAAAGACAGCTAAGTTAGCAATAACTGCAGATGAAACTAAAGCGCTGAATACATACAGTGCTTGTTATTAAAGTACCCTGGGTTGAAGGCATCCACTGTAATTCAGTGGTAATTTTGTCAATGAGACAAGAATTCATGCTGGCCTTGCAGCTTGAAGTGGGATGTCTTAGGATTCCCTAATGCTGCATCCTAAGTGTCTTTTTAGCTTGTGTATTGAATGGTTTTGTGTCAGTGGTACTCCTGCTCTGTGTGGTCTTAAAGGACAGGTTTGCCAGACAGTTATGGCTATTGATGAATTATTATGGGCAAGAGTAAGTTGATGACACAAGACAATTGCCAGCATACTTCTGGCAAGACAGTGATTTAGTAAATAATGGGTTACCTTACCTAAGAGGTGGCTGGTGTATTAGTTATTTTCAATTAATTTGCTTTACTCTAACGTTAATTCACTTAAATTTACATAAATTTAACTGCCAACAACTGAATCACACAAACAGGGAGGCAGGTAACGGCAGGAGTCGACACACCAACCACTCAGTGTATGGTGTGAGGATGGACTGATGTAGCAGGGAGAGCAGCTTTCTCAAACACAGATATTTAGATGAGTAGCAGGGCCAGGAGCTGGAGCTCAACCCTCTCAGGTTAGGTGAGTGACAGGTCCTTCTGTTGTGTGTGGTGCAAATTTAAGGTCAGCCTGATAATGCATTCTCCAGATATCGCATGGAGATATATCAGCATATCCACATCAGGTGCTTTACATTTTAGCAAGGAAATATAAGGATGCACATGCAAGCATGGGCAAAACAAGCATGACAAGTATTGTTTTAGCATGATGATTTTTTGTGGGTGTCAGTGTCTTGGCAGTGGAGCACGTCAAAGAAGCAAAAGTATGAAAATCACAACACACTTAGTCATGTGATGTGATGTGATGGATAGTCAATTTTTAAATCACAATAAAAAGAAACTTGAGGTAAGAAGGAGAATGCTAGATTTCACTTAACTTGTAAGTACCTTTACCAAATTGCTTAGAAAGGTCCATGCTATGTTGTAATGCAGAGTAATATTCTGTTATAATCTGCTTTCTGTCTTATATTACAAAGAAAATATAAAAATTCATTAAAACTTAAGAGGAATGAAGTTAGACTATTATACAGCTGGTTTCCCATCGAAAAGATGGATACCCACATGTAGTTATTTTTTTCCTTCCACTGCATTTAGTTTGTGCAATACTTTAAGAATGCCTTTTTGATTGCTCTTTTAACACTAGCTCCCTATTTGCTAGTTGCAGAATCAATTTGTCAAGGGTATCCTTTTGACCCTTCTAGAGCATTATTTTTTAAACATTGGGTTATGGCCTTTGTGGGGGGCAGGAGCAAAATGAACCTTAAGTTACAGATGGGTAAAGAACAAAAAGGTAGTGCCATGACTGGAACAATACACATATAAACTGCATATGGGAGAGAGAAGCCTTCAATGACGTTTTGGTCCACCCATTTACGAAGTCACAGTATGACTTTGTAAATGGCCCAAGTCGGACCAAAACGTTATTGTAGGTTTTTCTCTCCTGTGTGCAGGTTATTTGTGTATTACAGGTGGGTCATCTGACAATTGGATGAAAAACAAGCTTCTAGAACAGTTGTGGATAGGTGAAGTCATGCCACACTCAAGACTGTACATGTTTTCTGACCCCCAACAATGCTGGGGAGTCTCAAGTCAGAGGAAGGATCCAGAATTTTTTTCAAATTCTATCAATATCTCGTAAATATATGGGGTGGCTATAACTAGTGTGATAGGTATAAGATGATTATTACCCATAGGGTCCTCTTCAAGGGGGGCTCCTTGGCGTGGTGAAGAGGCTCTTGGTCTGAGGAATTAGACCTGTCGGTCTCCTTTCTCAGACTGAACCTAATTACCCCCTAATCCCCCCTTCCCTATCCCATCCTCCCCTTTTTCCTTTCCTCCTCCTCCTCCTCCCCACCCCTCCCTTTTGCCCTTCCTTTTTGGCCTTTGGGATTTTTTCCCACAGGCGCGCTAGTTCTTAGGTAGGGGAAAGGGTACCGGGGTCCATCCCATTCCGTTGAGGTTCTTGGCGGTGGTGTAGTTTGCCGTGGAATCTGGATTGCCTGGGGATGTCCCGATCCCTCTCCGGTATCCCGGAGGGTGACTTTGGGTGTCTTTCGGGCGACGGGTGTATCTCTGGAAGCCACCTTTCAGATTCCGGGGGTGGTGGCCGAAGGAGGTATGCTTTGTGGCAGATATCCGGCCACCCTCTTTTGTCCACCGAGGTAGCTCGGCAGATGTGAGGTTGCAATCCCGGATTGCTGGTTTACTGGCATGATGGGTAGGGTATGGCACGGGTTCCATGCTGCATCTGCACTACTTGCGGTGCTGAGGTCCTCTTGGGCACGGAGGGAGATTTCTGGCCCTTTCATTCCTCCTAGGAACTATCCCTCCCCGGTCCCCCCTTTTTTTCTTTTTTTTTATTTTGTTTCTTTTCTTCTTTCTTTTTGTTTTTAAGAAGAAAAAAAAGTAACCTACCTATGGTGTACCCAATCCATGACCCCGCTACCCCTGGGCCCCT